TTTATTTTAATTCTAAATGTAAGATCCTAATCTATTTTATTTCTCATATTTATATATTTTTTTCTAAGATAGTCTTTCTAATAATGGTAGTTTTAGCCAATACACTTGATTAGCAAAGATATTTTAAGAAAGACAATATTTATTTATTAAAAATAACTAAATTAACTTATTTTCTTAATCTCCTTAAATTAGTCAACTAGTTATTATAATTAGGACTAGAGGTAGTAGTTAGTTTAATTAATTCGATTATATTAAGAAAATTAGTTGAGTTAGTTATTTATAATAAATAAGTGTTGTCTTTTTTAAAATATTATTGCTAATCATATACATTAATTAGAATTACCATCTGATGAAACTTTTAGCATGTGTAATTATTATAAATATTATTTTAAAAAAATAGATAAATATTATAAATAAAGTGAATTAGGATTTTATGTTTATAATCAAATTAAACGTTAAATTAATTCTTATATTAGGAAAAGCTGGTAGTATTCGTTTTCTTGGCTCGGATCTTCTTAAATTTCGTTGTATGTTATATGCGCCTAGCAAACAAAAGAAAGGCACATGGATGAGAAGACTTGAAGCCATTCAAACGAACAAATGGTATTGAAAAATAGCAGTACAAGCTAAACTAAAATTAAATTTTATACTTAGGAGAGGGAGGCACTAATATGATAATAATGTTTTACGAAAAAACACATCTTATATTTGACACAAATACAGTACAAATTTTGTGATCGTTTGCACCTATAAATTTGTGAAAACCATGTTCAATAACCTATGCAAATAAACTACTACGCATAGCATACTACTTTGTTGCTATTTACAAGATATTTGATAAAATATTTTTAAATTTTAAGATTTAATAATTTTAGCTTTATTTAATATATATTTTTTGAAAAATGACAATATTTACAATAATAATAATAAATGAGTGATAATATATTCATATATAAAATTTAATAATATGACTTATAAATATGATTAAAAAAGTACCTCAGCCCAAAACTTATACCGGGATTAGGGTGTCTACGACCCAAACATCTTCATGATTCATCAACGGAGCCTGGAATTATCCTTTGCTTGTGATTGAAGTGTTGAACTTAGCTTGGCATGACGTGTCTAATGAGTCAAAACTCAACTCACTCTTTCACCTGTACAGTTGAATCCTTTTTCTAGACTTGCTATCTCATTTTTCTTCATCTAAAAAATCGCTTGGCATGACGTGTCTAAATGAGTCAAACCGAGTTGCACCTCACCTGTACAAAAAGAAATTGGCAAAAACTTTTTTTGAAAAAAACAATTTCAGTTATTGGAAAAAACAATAATTATCACCGTCTAAAATCTTTTTTTATTTGCATCATGAGTGTTCTTTATTTTTTGGCCAGAGCATCATGAGTATTCTTGCTTCTTAGTCTACACTGACAACAGAGGTTAAGGGGGTGTTTGGATAAAACCAAACTATAGTTTGGAGAATAACTTTGGAGCATAGATTTTTGAGAGAAGAGATTTGTGGAGAATAAATTTTGTGAAAAAGTAATTCTGATAAAGTGAGAGTGTTTGGATAGTTGTTATCAAAAACACTTTTTATATGTACAAATTACTAAAAAAGGCATAAGTTAATATGATATTACATAAAAGATATATTTTATAATATATTTTAATTTGAAGGAATAAAATTGTTAATATATATTTTTTACCAACATAATTAATAATCTATAAGATAATATAATTAATAAATAATTAATATGTGTATATATATTTATAAAATATAAGATTAAACGTGTTTATAAAAAATAATTGAGGGTATTAAAGTCATATTATCATTGAGATTTATTCTAACAGGTACAATCATATTCTCTAATTTGAGTCAAAAGCAGAGTAGAGTCACTTTTTCTGAAACTATAATTTTGAGTTCAAAACCATCGTTTTTGTTTTTTCTTCACTATTTGGTAATTTTTTTGCCCAAACCCCAAACAGACCCTAAATTTCTTTAAGATCTAGAAACTAGAAGGTAAAAAAGCAAATATTCCCTAACTAAATTCTCTCTATTCACAAGAACCGGAAATTAAACTCATAGCCACTTGTTTTAAAGTGGAAATAGAGTCTATATTGCTTAAAAGTTAAAATAACGTTTAAAATTATGATTACTTAACAATTATGCATTATTTTTAAATAATATTAATATAAAAAGGTAAATTAAAATTTTCTTAAAAATTAAATGATTGGAATCATAAAAAATCTTAACAACCATCATAATTTCAATTTATATGAGATGTGTCAATAAAAATACATCTGATAAATGAATCAATATATTTTTTCGGTAAAAAATCAATATATATAAAACTTAAAAATAAAACACACACACACAAAACAAACAGTGGGTGGGCTATATTATTATTATTATTATTTTAATAATTAATTCCTCACAATGTCACGAAGAAAGAGGTGCCCAGGAACTACCAGAGTCACACACCATATATTTATAAGGGTTGAATATGCAATTTTATCATAAAGCAAGTCATAAAAAGGTGGTTAATGTCAAATGGGTCAAACCACCTGATCAATTTCATATTGTCTTCGGTTCTTATTATAAAAATTAGTTTGATATTTAATTTCGTTTGAAATATAAGATCTTAATTTATTTTATCCCTTATATTTATCTATTTTTTTAAAGTAGTTCTTGCAGTAGTTACACATGTTAAATGTTCAATCAAATGACATTCTAACTAATACATATGAGTACCAATAATATTTAAAAAAAAACAATACTTAATTATTACAAATAACTAATTCAACAAACTTACTTAATTTAATCAAATTAGTCAGTTAGTTTTTATATTAAGGACTGGAAGTAGTATCATATTTTGATAGATTTTTTTTTGGTGCTACTAGTTTGATAGATTTTATATTGCATGTTATTGTATATTGAGATTGATGAGGCGTTAGTTATGGTTTTTATGTATGTTTTCATTTCAATAAATATTAGATGGTTTATTATAATCTTCCACAAAAAATATGTCAAAGAGCTCTCTTGTCGGTTGGAAGTTGAAACATCGTAGTTGCCCAAAAAAAAAAAAAAAGAAGTTGAAACATCATAGATGCCATCTCTGCTAAAAATCCCCTTAATCGCTCGTCCACCTACTTGGTGCCTCTCCCACGCGCGCCCCAGGACGTTGCAAACACATCATATCCTTCAGCCCATAAGCGCACAATTAAGAGTTCTTTCAATTTTCTTCAATCCATTCATTTGTCAATTGAAATAAATATTTTCAAAAATTAATTTGAATGGCTTAACCAATAAAGTTTCAAGCAGATTATTTAATTTCTTTGCAATTCTTTAATTTTTTAACTGAAGATATTTATATACTTAAGTCAATTTGTATATAATATTAACAGTCTCAAAATAATAGTAATACTTTAATTTCTCTTTTTATTATTTTTATATTTTACATAATTTATAAGCTCCATCTGTGTCTCTCCCCTTGTTTCCAAGATTTGTAAATAAACTAGCTCATTGGCCTTTTAAACTTAAACATTGCGATAGTGGAACCGGAAAGGAATGTGTCTTTTTTTTTTTTTTTTCCAGGAAATTCTAACAATCATCTTCTTTAGCTATTATTTTATATGATGATATGTATAGTTGTTAAGATGGTATAAAATGTAGCTTTAGACCTAATTTACTAATATCGTTGTTATATATTTATATATTTTTTACAAAAAAAATTCTAATTCTATTTTTAAAATTGAAAATATGGAAATTATTCACAAAAAATCATGAATATTGGGAGAAAGATACAACATTCTTATCCATTGGCTTTGCATGACGGTGAGGCTAAAATTATTGTAAATCAGTTTGATTTCATGTGAATGAGTGTGTATATTTAAAGTCAAAAGATTAAAAGATAAAATTAAAGTGTTAAAATTATATTATGTTATTCCCTCCGTCTTTTTTTATAAGCAACTTTAGATTCTATTGCATAGATTAAAAAGTTAGTTAAAGACAATAAATAGATAGAAGTTAATTTTTTTTTAAACACCCTTACTTATGGGTGTAAGAGAGTATAAGAAAGATAATAAGAAAATTATTACTCCCTTCAGTCCTAGGCATAAGCTTTATTTTTTGAGAGAATTCTGATTCAAAATATAAACTTCATTTTTGAGTTTGTCTGAGTATTTATTATTTTTTTTATTTTTGTAATTGACTGTATTTAGTACTCCTTCTCCCTTATTAACATTATCTTTATATATCCTCTTTCATCACTTTTTTTATTTTGTTGTCTTTTTTATTTATTCTTTTAATAAATAAGGACAAATTTTAAAAAAATATTTATGACTTATTTATTATTTTTAACTAATTTTAATTGCTAGTTTGTTCAATATGATTCGGCTATTTGAATTTTGAAGCTTATATAAAGGATCGAAGGGAATAAAACTATTATGGAAGAGAGAGAATGTGTGATGAAAGGAGATAATAATTTGAAAAATGAGATAATAAATATATTGAGTATTAAAATAAGTAATTAATAGGATAAAATAGGAAATTTGTAACAAAAATTTAAAACAATCTGCAAATATTATTTATATTTAGGAACAAGAGAGAATTATAGTTGTTATGTATAAAAAAAGACCGACGGAGTTTTTGTATTCTATTAAATGAAGATTATAACTCCTTTAGACAAAAACATTACTGAAATTTTTTCTGGTTGGCCAACGATTAGGGCTCAATTACGTGTAAACTTTGTTTTACTCGTTAGTTGAGTTTAATTAGTTTGTTTTACTTGTTCGTTGAGTTTAATTAGTTATTGTGGTTTTTTTTTTTTCTTTTTCTTTTTTATTTTTCCATTGCATAGGTCTGTCGGGTCATCGACACGCGCCCAGGTGGTGAGGGAAGAACCCAAATGAACCCCAGCAAGACTAATTTTCAATTAGGTTACAACTTGCAAGACCCACCAAAATAGCAATGGATCAAGTCTCGACAAGTCTTCAACTTCACTCCAAGTCCCCTCTTGGCTCCAACCAAGTTTGCTTGCTGTCTTTCTCTATTGTAAGTTTGTAACATTCTCAAGTCCAGATCTTACAGACTGGGTTCGGTTATTAAATCAATTACTCGACAATTGGGATTTGGTAGTTTCTGTGATCTGAATCTGATTGAGGTTCGTCTTTCTATCTGTGCTCTCTACGAGCTTCCATTCATCATCGCTGACTAGAAGTTTGAGCTTATGTTTTCTATAATCGTTTCCTCAATAAATCTTGTTCTATGATATGTGCTTGAATTTTTGGTAGCTGCATGCACATATTCAGCGGTAGTGGATGTAATGAAGCAAAATTTTATATAGAAATTTCGGGGGAGGGGAAAGGAAAGAAGTAACTGGAAGTTCGTGTTTTTCTGATATTCTAAATAAAGTAATTGAATTTTGTCTGCCGGAATCATGAAGATTCTGTTTTCTGCTATTGCTCTTTGGTCTGTTTGTGTTCTATTGGTCATTGGAGTTACGGATTCATATCCCCCTGAGGCCGACTTTCGGTTTGAAAGGAGTTCTCATCCAACATATAATTATGACCGGATTGATGAAGTTCGGAGGCAATGTGCCCCAGTCTTATCTTCTGCCTCTGAATTGAGATCTGGATATGATGTGGTTGATGGTATGAAACAAGATCTTTCCTTTGTCAATGGCGATTGGAGCCAAGATGGGGGTAAGTTTCCCATAATGCCATTTGATGCGGGGAAATTTTCTGGGACCTTGCCATCTGAAGACCGGACTCCATTGAAGTTAGTCTCTTTTTGGGTAACAGACATTGATCATACGCATAGAATGAAAAAGTCAATTCCTGTCAATGGATTCTTGATAATGGGCATTACTAGAGATGGTTCTTTTGTGGATAATGCCTATGGTGGAAATGCTGATTTCCAGCTATGGCCTGGCCATTCTCAGCTTTCAATTCCCTTTCAAGGGTTTTACACTGAGTCGAAGAAAAATGGTGGGGAGAGGGTGTTATGTTTATTAGGGGACACAATGCTTCCAACTCGAGAGACTGATCCTGCCAATCCATGGGGATGGATGAAGACTTCTGGTAAAAATAATGATGAAATGCCTCTGTCAGAAGATGATCAAATCATCTTAGTTCTTCACTACCCCATGACATTCACATTAACTAACAGGGTTATCAGCGGAGAGTTGAGAAGTTTAAATCGTGAATCAAATACTAAATACTTTGATGTGGTTCACATAACATCACAATTGGGCAGGTCAGCAAAGTATTCATTTGGCTCAAAAGATATTGTATCTAAAGCATGTAATCCATACCCATACAAGGATAACCTGACAACTGATGGCATCAGTGTCTATAAAGGCTTAAGATTTTGTCAAATTCTTGAAGAAATCACCAGGGGCCAACCGTTATCTGTTGTGCCAAACTGGAGATGCAATGGGACAGATAATTTCTGCAGTAAATTAGGCCCCTTTTTGTCAGATAAGGGAATCAAATCAACAGATGGAAGCTTTAAAGATGTTAAAATTTACATGCAGAATGTTATCTGTGAGCAAGCAACTACTCGTGGCAATGCTGGTTCTGCTAGGGTATTTACAAATTTTAGAGCTGTTTCTCCATCGGAAAATCAGTACACTGCAGCAAAAAGATCTGGCCCTAGCAACATGTCTCTTGCTGCTGAAGGGTTTTGGAAATCTTCTAGTGGGCAGCTCTGCATGGTTGGTTGTATTGGGTCCATCAGTGCCAAAGGAAGTAGTTGTAATTCTCGGATCTGTTTGTACATACCTACCTCATTTTCCATCAAGCAACGTAGTATTCTTCTTGGAAGTTTGTCTTCAATTGATAATAGTAATGCCTTCTTTCCCCTGTCATTGGAGCAGCTAGTTCAACCTACAGAGCTCTGGAATTATTTCAGGTTCTCCCATCCTTATTACAGATATTCAAAAATTAATTTGGCTGGCACTATACTAGAAAAACATGAGCCCTTCAGTTTTCGAACTGTCATAAAAAAATCATTACTAAGATTCCCTAAACTTGAAGATAATGAGGCATATGAGGATAGCCTGTCTCTTCTCTCAGAAGATCTCACTTTTCATATATCAGGTTTTCCTGATCCTGCACCAAATATCCTGGCTCCAAAAGTTAACGTTCAGATGGAGATTATATCTGTTGGTCCCTTGTTTGGGCGCTATTGGTATCAAAATAGTTCAACATTGGAACCAGAAACTGAATATCATGTTGAGGATACATATACAGAAAAGCAGCTTCTTCTGAATGTATCTGCACAACTCAGTCTTACTGGAAAAGCTTATAATAATTTCACTGTACTTTTTCTGGAGGGTATTTATGACCAACGTGTTGGGAAGATGTATCTGCTTGGTTGCAGAGATGTTCGAGCATCATGGAAAGTCTTGTATGAGAGCTATGATCTCGAAGATGGACTGGACTGTTCAATTGAGGTGGTTGTGGAATATCCTCCCACTACAGCTTGGTGGCAAGTCGATCCCACAGTTAAAATTTCCATTGAAAGTCAAAGGACTGATGATGACCCTCTTCATTTTGGTGCAATAAAGCTTCAAACTTTCCCAATCATGTACAGGAAGCAGCGGGAGGATATCCTTTCACGCAGAGGTCTTGAAGGCATTCTCCGCATCTTGACACTGTCATTGGCAATTGGTTTCATTTCAAGCCAACTGTTCTATATCAAAGACAGTGTGGATTCCCTTCCATATATTTCTCTTGTTATGCTGGGTGTGCAAGCTCTTGGGTATAGTATTCCTCTAATCACAGATGCAGAAGCTCTCTTCAAGAAGAAGGCCTCTGATTCTTATGGGGTGTCATCTAGTGGTCTCGAGAACAGCATGTGGCTCCATGTGATTGATTACACTGTCAAACTGTCATTGATTATAGCTTTGCTACTAACTCTACGTCTTTTTCAGAAGGTGTGGAAATCTCGCCTAAGATTGCTGAGTCGTGGGTCACATGAACCATTTCGTGTCCCCATTGATAAATGGGTGTTTATTTGCACCTTCACCATTCATCTGATTGGATATATTCTTGTTCTCATAATTCATGGTGCAAAGACAACTCAAAAGCCTCTTGTAGCAAAGACATACTCAATTGATGGAGATAATTCTCTGGCGCTATCTGGTTGGGCAATAGAATTGGAGGAATACATGGGTCTGGTCCAAGACTTTTTCTTGCTCCCTCAAATTTTTGGGAACTTTATCTGGCAGATCAACCGCCAACCACTGCGAAAACTATATTTTATCGGAATCACTGTGGTCAGACTACTTCCTCATGTTTATGATTACATACGATCTCCAGCTCCAAACCTTTACATGTCTGAGGATTCTGAATTTGTCAACCCAAATTTTGACTTTTATTCAAAATTTGTGGACGTTGCCATTCCTCTGACTGCAATTGTCCTGGCCATTATAGTTTATATTCAGCAGAGATTGGGCTATGACAAGCTGAGCAAGACTCTGACATTTGGGCGGCATAAACTTCTCCCTAGTTTCAGATACGAGAGATTGCCATCGAAGTCTCCTGAAGCCGAGCTTGTTCCTGGTGTCAATGGTAGTGCTGCAAGAGACAATGAGCACGATGAGGTAGAATGATGTAGAAATTACTGACAGAAGTTGTCGAAAACATACTTCAGAGGTAAGTACCAGTTTTGGTGGTTGTATCGTTGTATATGAGAAGCTGGATGGCTTTTGTACTCAATAACTGATAGGATTGTGGTCTTGTGTTCTGAAGATACTGACTATTTGTTCAGTCTGCCTTTGTTCTTCACTGAGGTGCTCTCTCCTTGAGTATTTTACGAGACTGAGATCAAAGGCATGTGGGGGTTCGGATACGTGAAATTATGCTATTAAACATTAAACATAGATCATATGGTCGTTGATAAACTCTTTTGTAAATGATGGATGATTACCATACAAATGCCTGTATTTGGAGGAAATCATATTTCCAGTGTAGTAAGAAAAGCATCTCTTACATATTTAGATGCCGTTTGTGCTGATTTATCTGGTAGATAGCACGGAAAAATTGGTTAGATTGAATAAAAAGGGCATAAACTTAGTAAAATTTTATGGGGCTTGGCATTTTGTGCCGGGTTTTGTATTGACGTATTTTATGAGTTGAAATCTTCATATTAAATATAAAGCGTCATGATATTTGGGGCACAATTGATTATGAAATCCATCCCTGTTTGGCTCAAATCTCCTTAGTGCCCACAAATTAAATTTCATCATGATTCCCACATAATTTCAGTTTACCCCCACCTTTTTAGCTGACAATTATACATGAAGCTAATGCTCACGCAAAATCCTATCCAAACATTTCTTTTTCATGGCATGATTCTTTAGTGCTTTTCTTAGTACGAAGTATTAAAAATGAGGGATATAATTGATATTGCAATTAAGAAAAATTATTAAAAAAGTATTAAGTATGAGTAATGGCTTGTCACATGGGATTAGAAAAACCCATGGAGGTGAGATTGAGTAGTACTACCTCCCCTCATGGTATTTTTCAATCCTACATATATAAATTTATTTAATCTTATGTAACAAGTAATTATTTATGCTAAATATTCTTTTAATAGATTTTTTTAAATCTCAATTCTAATATCTATAACTTATTTTTAATGTTTCGTACCAAAAGAGACTTTAGGGAATTATGCTGCCAAGGATTTAGACATTTAAATCTTTGATCATCTAATTGTTCTTTTTGTTTTTAATTTTCGGGATAAACTAATCGTTCTTACTGTGACAAGAGGAGAAGGAAAGGTTGCCTTTCCTCTGATCTTGTTTTATTCCCCGGCTTCATAGGCAAACAAAAAATGGAGCTTACCCGCGGGAAAACGTACCACACCTTGGGCTCTAGAGGTGGTAAAGCCTGCTGCCGGTTGAAACGACTAGCATTCCAGCCGGTTGGCACGTGCAGGTTAATTAATTTGAAAAGACTAAAAGAACTAGTTAATTTAGTTATTTATAATAAATATGTGTTGTTTTTTTTAAAATATCCTTGCTAATCAAGTATAGTAGCTAGAATTACTATTACTACGAGGACTACTTTGAAAAAAATAGATAAATATAAGAGATAAAATAGATTGAGCTCTTATATTTAGAATCAAAATAAAAAAAGTTAGAAAGTTTTTTTTCTAAAAGAAAAATTAGAACTATCTTTGGAAGTATTTTTGGCATCTCTTTAACATTGTCAGATTCTCAGCAAATGGATGTTGATTAATATAACAACAGGCCAAGAGGGCCTCCATAAAATCAGTATGTACTGTCACATTATGGTGACCTAACTCTTGAGAAGTTTTCCTTTGAGAGCCTCCATCTTGAAATCCTCCTTTCATAGTACAGCATTCCTGGTTGGCCGCGGATGTATATACATTAATTGCATCCAAAATTTGGACCCCAAAGATATTTTAAAAACATCATAAAATTCTATACTTCGAACAGGATTGCTTCTAATAAAAGAGTATTTGTACTTAGTAAAATACACTGTGAAATTCTAAACCATATATTATAAAAAGGGATAGAAGCTAAAAGAAGAAACTATATACTCTTCCGGTCCTAAATATAAGACCTCTTTTATAGTGTAATTTTACACTATAAAAGAGGTCTTATATTTAGGATCGGAAGAGTATTATATATAGAAAAGGAGAGAGTACCATTTTAGATTTTTAAGGGAGAATTAACATCTCCAAAGGCCATATATGATAAAAGTCCGGTTGAGAATGGCGTGGCATGTTTATAATGGCCATGTGAATAGAAATTGTATAGCTATTCAAATTGTGCAAAATGTGATGTTCAATGAAAACAAGCTAGGTGTGAAAGCCACTATGTTACAAATCATTAATGGCAACTTTAACGCATTATGCAGCTAAATATATGAACTTTTATTTTCCCAAAATTTCAAGATCTATCTACCTTCTTTGCTTCCATAATTATTGCAGAGAAATTCAAAGATAACACTACTTCTCAAAGTCAAACGTGTTTATGTCTTGCCATGTCCTTTTGTTTCCAATTTCGTTGCATCTCAACCTATAATCAAACTCGTGAGTTTAAACAAACTCGTGATAATAATATAAACTCGGATTGTAAACTCGAATCATGAACTCGTAAGAGTTTATTTTTATTAATAAACTGGTGTTAAAAGCATATAATCAAATAATTAATATATAAAAAATGAGAACAATTTCATTTAAATAATTAAAATTATATCAATCAATGTTCATAATTTATCATATTCAACAACAAAAAATTCTATAAAATTCATATATAAAGTCACTAAACATAATCAAATCCAAAAATTTAGCACGAGTTTAAGAGCGAGTTGACACGATTTTGTAAGCTAAAAACGTAAAAACGGTAAACTCGGTAAATGAACTCATAAGTTTAATTGAGTTTACAGTTATTACAAGTTTAAGAACAAGTCGACACGATTTTGTTACTTGAAAACTTAAAAACGTTAGATTCGGAGAATCAACTCGCGAGTTTAACAACAATACCTATAATCCAATAAGTATCGTCTAAATTCTAAAAATAAAGTCAAGAGAAATAAGACAAGTTCTGTTATATATATACATATATTTCCATAAGTGTCATTGTCAAGAGGTAATTCCTTCTAAATTTGGGATTAACAACATCGTATCAACATCTAATCTTCAGTTATAAAACTATGTTCTGCCAAACAAAGGCTACCACATGTCCTTTAGAAACTTTTCCAAAATCATATTAATTTTTATCCTCTTCCTATCCTTGCATTTTAAAAAAAAAATATTTAACGTTATTGATCGGAACTCTCATAGGGTCTTCAAAAAACAAATTCACCACTCATCAAAAAAAAAAAATTCACCAAAGGAGTAGTACACGCCAGGACATTAACATTAATATGGCCGCGGAAGGAAAGGGACAAGGCAGGTTATCTACGAACTAACTTATTTTGACTTTTTTTCTTGCCTAATTACTCTTCCGATCCTTATTATAAGATCCTATTTGACTTTTTATTTGGTCCTAATTATAAGACCCTAATCCATTTTATCTCTTATATTTATGTATTTTTTTCCAAGATAATCCTTCTAATAATGATAGTTTTAGCCAATATACTTAATTAGCAAGGATATTTTAGGAATGACAACACTTATTTATTATAAATAATGAACTTAACTTACTTCCTTAATCTCCTCAAATAAGTCAATTGGGTCTTATAATTAGGATTGGAGGAGTATTAGTTAGTTACATGAAAAACGAAGTGCCACACATCACGTTGATTCCCATTGGATTAGTATTAATTAGGGTTCGTTGTTACCAAAAAAACAATATTAATTAGGGTTATGTGAGTGTAATTGGGTTTCACTGACATTTGGTTTTATTTATAAATCACTTCTAATATGTTTTATACAGGCTACGAAAAATCTTAAACTTTATTAACTCTTATTTAAAATTTAACAACTTTTCAACTTTATCCCTATTTAATATATATTATATCTCATGTAAACAAATCAACATAATAATAAATGAAGGGTAAATTTATACATCTATACAAAAAAATTATCTCAGTACCTTATAAATAGGATAAAAAAATGTCGTTGGTTTCCGCCATATAAATAGGGAGTAAAAGTTGTACAGTGACAGTTACCGACAAGTAGGAAACTGAACTTTTACGAGGAAGGGGACAGAATTTAGATTCTGATTTGATTTGTGTGTGTATGCATATGTGGGAACTGTGAACTGCTATATATATATAGTTGTGAGAGCACCGATTCTTAAATGAATTAGTTGGCATATAGACTCACATGAAGATGCGGAGAAAGGTTCGGAGCACAAGTTTCTCACAAATGAGACGGAGACATTAATTGGCCAAGTGATCAGCAAGAAAGTCTTCTCCCTTCCACAACTGTGAGCCTCACATAAATTGGACGGCCATGTGCTTAGTCTGGTCAAGCTCCATATTCACACTTTCCCACAACAAAAATATTTCATACAGTATTCTTTTTTTGGGGGACCAGATTTCATATAGTATCTATATGTTACAAGTGATTTGTAATTTATTTTTATGAATTAAGAAATGCATTAAATTAATGTAACTTTTTAAATGTATTTTTATTAATTTTTTTTTCTCTTTTTACCTTTACGTATCATTCTTATATTTCTTCTATCTTTCTCTCTTTTTAGCGAAAATTAAATAAGAATAAAATTAAAAAATGATTATTAAATACTCTACAAGTAATATACTAAGATGACAAATTTTTCCTACAAAGAACTTAAAGTAATTATTTCTTAAGGAAAAAACAGTATTTCACAGCATTTATCATATTATCATAGCATCATATTTGAATACTATCAGTTTCATTTTGAGAGCTATTTTAACATGATTTTTTTGTGATTAATAAAATTCACTGTGTTTTTAGCAAAAACGATGATTTTTTTTTTATCTATAAGATTTTTTTTTCCAGACCAGAGACTGAAGGGAAAACCACCTAACGCGGGTGGTATCCAAACAGCCCGAATGTTCTACTTATACACACTAATACACTCACACTATCTATAAGACTTGAAACCTCAATGCTTGAGGAAAAAAATTTAATATTAAGTTAAATTAAAATTATGTTTAAGTAAAACTTAAGGAGATGTTTATTCAGTTTTTTTTTTTTTGGTTTTTTGCCAACAAGGAGATGTTTACTCACTTGGTCGAAATCAGTTTAGTATTTTTGTTATTATACTTATTTAATGTGATTATTCATAGTTGACGCTGTATATTTATTATTCGGTTACCTAAAAAATTATTTAGCATACAAACAGTTGAAAAGTAATTAATATTTTTTAGCATAAATAAAATTAACACTATTTGGAGTATTTTTTTTAATTTTATCCTTTTGTATAATTAAACTTTATGAGCAATTAATTCATGATAATTAATGTAGTATTAACTTTTAATAAGGTTATAAGGTTATATGTGAAATGTTTTATATATTTTTAAAATATTTAATTACATAACCTTATATATACCTTTTCTTCACTTTATTTTTTTTTTTTGGGGGGCAAGACAATATTCTTTCTTCCATGAAGCTTTATATATATAAAAGCAGTGCTCTGTTCTTCATTCCAATCAATTCCTTGGTTCGGAAGCTAAAGATACTTAATGAAACGTGTCCATTTTTCTGTATTATCGGCGCTTGGATTTCGCTTTGTTCTGTAGGATCACACAGAAACATACGAGTTTCAACAACAACCTTCCGTCATTACTTCCAATCTTTAAGGGGAGAGACAGAAAGTTGCAAACGTTATAATTTTCCTGTTTTCTTGGGCAGCAATGGAAGGTGCGAACCTATATAAAGCAAGTAACAGTTTACGATCAGGAAGTTCAACGATTTGGAGAACAGGTTCTGCTGAAGTATTCTCTGCATCTTCGCGTGCAGAAGATGACGAAGAAGTTCTGAAATGGGCTGCACTTGAGAAGCTCCCTACTTACAATCGTCTCAGAAAAGGGTTGTTGACGTCGTCCCGCGGTGGCGCCAATGAAATCGACGTCACTGATCTTGGATTTCAGGAAAGGAGGAAATTGCTTGAGAGGTTGGTTAGAGTTGCGGAAGAGGATAATGAGAAGTTCTTGTTGAAGCTTAGGAACCGAATTGATAGGTAAACTAAAGAGGAAAGTTGCATTCACAGACTGCCATATTGCTATTGTTAGTTCATTTTATTTATATTAAGCTGGTTTTTAATTTTCTATGTGTGAATCTTCTAATAATTTTGTAGAGTTGGGATTGATATTCCCACCATTGAAGTTCGTTATGAGCATCTAAATATAGAGGCGGAGGTGAATGTGGGAAGCAGAGCTTTGCCTACCGTCCTGAACTTTACAACTAATATAGTAGAGGTAACAATGGACAGACTTCATCAACTCCTGTTTCTTAACCACTGATTTCTTTCTGAAATTTCTATCTGTTCTCCATCATAGTGCCTGACAAAATCTCTCACTTGTTATCTCAGAGCTTCTTGAATTCTCTCCATATTCTTCCCAGCAGAAAGAGACATGTGACGATTCTTAAAGATATTAGTGGAATCATCAAACCTCGCAGATTGACACTGCTTTTAGGTCCTCCTGGCTCTGGAAAGACTACACTCCTTTTGGCTTTGGCTGGAAAGCTTGACCCAAATCTTAAGGTGAAAACTAAAAGGAAATTTCCTTTTAATGCCTTGGCTTTTTTTTTTTTTTAATTTTATTTTCAAACACCTAGTTTTAATTTGGAAGCTCATTTGCGTTAAAGGTATCTGGGAGAGTGACCTATAATGGGCATGGTATGAACGAGTTCGTACCTCAGAGAACTGCTGCTTATATCAGCCAGCATGATGTTCATATTGGAGAAATGACTGTAAGGGAAACTTTGGCTTTCTCTGCAAGGTGCCAAGGGGTTGGATCACGTTATGGTTGGTTAATTTTAATACAATCATCACTTTCCTTTATACTTTTTCCAGATGTAGTTTAGAGTTTTGGTAACTGAAACATGACTGGATACTATTTTGGGGTTCCACAGACTTGCTAACAGAGTTGTCAAGAAGAGAGAGAGAAGCAAATATTAAGCCTGATCCAGATATTGATGTCTACATGAAGGTAAGAAAGGAGACAATATCAATCTTCATTACATTGAAACTATGTTTTAAATGACAGAATATCATTGAATCTAATCGAGGTCTTATATACCAGGCAACAGCAACTGAAGGTCAAGATGCAAACCTAGTTACGGATTATGTATTAAAGGTAATACTACTATCAGGATCTCTTATTCTCTACTGTTTCTTATGATTTTCTCTTTAGGTACCATTTCAATTCATTAGTTCTGCACAAAGGCTTAACAAACAAGATATTAGGTGAAGACCTGAAAACATAGATTTTAATGAAGAGAACGGGGTTGGCAACGATTCAAATCCATAACATTGAGTCGTCCCTAAGCCTCTGATTCCATGTTAACAACGTTTTCACCTCAAAAGCTTTATTTTCGAGCGAAGAAAATCAACACTATCTGACAAACACGAGGTATATATTTGTAATTATTCAGGTCTTGGGGTTGGATATTTGTGCTGATACAATGGTGGGCAATGAAATGTTGCGAGGGATTTCTGGGGGACAGAGGAAGCGTGTGACAACAGGGGAGATGCTAGTTGGACCAGCGCAAGCTTTGTTCATGGATGAAATATCCACTGGTCTGGACAGCTCCACAACATTTCAGATTGTAAATTGTCTCAGGCAATACATTCACATTCTTGATGGTACCGCTGTTATTTCTTTGCTACAGCCAGCACCAGAGACTTATGATCTCTTTGATGATATTATTTTAATCTCTGATGGCCAAATAGTCTACCAAGGACCCCGTGAATCTGTTCTTGACTTTTTTGAATCTATGGGCTTTAGATGTCCTGCAAGGAAAGGTGTAGCAGATTTCCTTCAAGAAGTGAGTGAAAGTTCATCTCTTATTTACTTTTTTATGCAGCTTTATATGTAGTGGAAATACAAATAATCTGAGATCTTTTCCTATAGGTAACTTCAAGAAAAGATCAAGAGCAATACTGGGTGCGTAGGTATGAACCATATCACTTCGTAACAGTGACTCAATTTGCTGAAGCATTTCAATCATTTCATATTGGTCGGAGACTTGGGGATGTACTTGCAAACCCATTTGACAGGTCAAAGAATCACCCTGCTGCATTAACCACTAAGAAATATGGTGTTAACAAGAAGGAACTGCTGAAGGCTAACTTCTCAAGGGAATACTTGCTTATGAAGAGAAATTCATTTGTCTATGTCTTCAAGACATGCCAGGTGGGTTGTAGCCTAGGAAGCACTGATATTTTTGTGAAAGCTATGCATGTATCACTTGTTGCCTTATATCCAGTCTCTTTGCTCATTTTCTTAATTAACATCAGATCCTTTCTTATAGCGTATCCTTTTCCATATATAGTTTACTGGCAAAAAAAGAAGAAAATGTTTCTTTTCTAATTTCCTTTTGTGTACTCTTATGCTTGCACACATGGTTTTGACTTGTAATATTTCTCTTGATGTTGTTTAGCTGGCCATCATTGCATTTATAACCATGACACTTTTCCTGAGAACTGAGATGCACCATGATTCTGTGGAGCATGGTGGAGTTTATGCTGGGGCTCTTTTTTTCACATTGACTATGATCATGTTTAATGGGATGTCCGAGCTTTCTATGACCATAGCAAAGCTTCCAGTTTTTTACAAGCAACGAGACCTCCTATTTTATCCTTCATGGGCTTATGCGGTTCCCACATGGATCCTCAAAATTCCTATCACATTTATCGAAGTTGCTGTCTGGGTATTTCTTACGTATTATGTAATTGGATTTGATCCAAATGTTAGCAGGTAAACGAGCTTTCTTTTTCATTTAAACTTAGAGCCTTGAATAACTTGTTCTGCAATTTAGCATCTTAAATGTGATGTGGGATTTTCTTATTCATGATGCAGATTGTTCAAGCAATACCTTCTGCTACTGTTGGTTAACCAAATGGCTTCTGGATTGTTCCGAACTATTGCAGCACTTGGTAGGAACATGATTGTGGCTAACACATTTGGGTCCTTTACACTGCTCGCACTTTTCGGATTGAGTGGCTTCATTCTTTCAAGAGGTGAAATAGCTCTATAAAAGTTTCAAGTTTAGATCTTTCACTTGATGGAATCTTATGCGGTGTTTATTTCTTTCGTTGCCAATGAAACAGAGAATATCAAGCCCTGGTGGATTTGGGGTTACTGGATTTCACCTTTAATGTATGGGCAAAATGCAATAGTGATCAATGAATTCCTTGGGAAAAGTTGGAACCACGTAATACTTCAACTAGAAACTTTTTAAACCATCTACATTGTTTTCCTTGGATGAAGAAACCATATACTTTTAGCCATAAAATATCTGGTTTAACTTATTTTCTTTGTTATACAGACCCTCCCAAAGGAAACTGTTCCGTTGGGAATTCGAGTTCTGAAGTCTCGGGGGTTTTTCACGCATGCATATTGGTATTGGATAGGGGTGGGGGCATTGGTTGGATTCATGTTTCTTTTCAACATCATGTTTGCTGTAGCTCTCGGCTGCCTTAATCGTGAGAATCTATCTTCAATTTCCATTCCTTGAGTTTCATAACTTGATCATAATTTTAATTAATGAATTTTCCTGATAATGTAGCTTTTGGCAAGCCAAATGCGGTGATACCCGAAGAACCAGAAGACAAAAATGCATCTATTGGCAAGACCCAAGAAGGAGTTGAATTATCATGCAGAGGTAATTAATATCATCTATATCACTTTTCGTGAACATGAATGAACATGTTAGGAGTTTCTTTGTAATTTGTAGTATACATTGACCTCATTTGCTGTTTTTTTTTCCCCTAACAAAAAAGAATTCTTGCAGAGAGTTCAATGAGTTGTAGGCGAGATAGGAGGAAACGAGGAATGATTCTTCCTTTTGAACCACATTCCATCACCTTTAACGAAATTATATACTCAGTTGACATGCCACAGGTTAGTGACTTTCAAAGTTAAAATTCAGGAACAGGTTTTACAAAAAAGTCTAAAGTGAGCTCAATTTACCGGTATTTATCTTCAAAGCTGTAATCATGTCATAAACAGTTTCAGTGGTATTTATCTCTAGTGTGCTTACTGATTGGCTTGCTCTACCTGTCCTTGGCAGACCAAGTTTACTCAATAACAACTTGTGAATTTATAACAAGGTCTTGTTTTAGCTATAGGGCTAAAATAGCCCCTAATTCTTTCGACTTCAATTGGCAGGAAATGAAAGATCAAGGTGTGATTGAGGATAGGTTGGTGCTTCTGCAAGGTGTGAGTGGAGCATTTCGGCCTGGTGTTCTCACTGCACTAATGGGCGTTAGTGGAGCTGGTAAAACTACTTTGATGGATGTTCTAGCAGGTAGAAAAACTGGTGGGTATATTGATGGTAACATTAAAATTTCTGGATACCCTAAAAAGCAAGAAACATTTGCTCGAATCTCTGGATACTGTGAGCAGAATGACATCCACTCTCCCCATGTTACTGTCTACGAGTCCTTGCTATTCTCAGCATGGCTTCGTTTACCTCCTGAAATTAATGCCAAAACCAGAAAGGTAAGCACCTAAAGTTACTTCCATAATATAATTTTCCCAGCTTCTTCCTTATAGTTTGAGGTTGATTATATGCTTTTGAATCTGTTTTAACTGTTATAGATATTCATTGAGGAAGTCATGGAACTTGTGGAATTAGAACCATTGAGGAACTCACTAGTGGGTTTACCTGGTGTGGATGGTCTTTCAACTGAACAACGCAAAAGACTAACTATTGCAGTTGAGCTAGTGGCTAATCCGTCCATAATCTTCATGGATGAGCCTACGTCTGGATTAGATGCAAGAGCTGCTGCCATTGTCATGAGAACAGTTCGGAACACAGTGGACACCGGTAGAACAGTTGTTTGCACCATCCATCAGCCAAGCATTGACATATTTGAATCCTTTGATGAGGTGAGAAATCATATTTGATTACTTACCAACAAAAGTTGTGCCCTGTAGCTTCATTCTTCACCAGAGTACTGAACTCTATATATTGCATGCGTCACAGCTGTTCCTCATGAAACGTGGGGGTCAAGAAATATATGTTGGGCCCTTGGGTCGTCATTCTAGCAAACTGATCAAGTATTTTGAGGTAAAATGTGTATCTTAAATTGTGGTATTTTTTAAGTTCATAACCACAGCATCTGCTGATTTTCCACTGTCTTTGTTCACAGAGTATTGAAGGCGTTAGTAAAATCAAAGACGGGTATAATCCAGCAACTTGGATGCTGGAAGTTACGTCTTCAGCTCAAGAACTTTCTCTGGGTGTTGATTTTAATGAGATATACAAAAACTCTGAATTGTATAGGTAACCTATGATAAATGGGCATAAAGTTATCTAGTACAATATATTTTGTCATGGGTTTTAAAGTGAACTAAAAAATCCTATTGATGGATGTAGGCGAAACAAACAGCTGATAGAAGAACTGGGCAAGCCGGCTCATGGTTGCAAGGATCTTCATTTCCCCACTCAATACTCACAATCGTTTTTTAACCAATGCTTGGCTTGCCTATGGAAACAATGTTGGTCCTATTGGCGCAATCCTCCCTACACTGCTGTGAGGTTTCTCTTTACTACTATTATAGCCTTGATGTTTGGAACAATGTTTTGGGACCTTGGATCTAAAACGTGAGTATGAACTTCTGCATCCTTCACATTTAGAGAATTGCTATTTAGTCAACTTTGTTTTCCCCTTCTATTAATCTGATATATTTTTGTGACATTCAGCTCAAAGAATCAAGACCTATTTAATGCGATGGGTTCAATGTACACTGCTGTTCTCTTCCTTGGTGTTCAAAATGCTGCTTCTGTACAGCCAGTGGTAGCCATTGAAAGAACTGTTTTCTACAGAGAAAGAGCTGCTGGAATGTACTCAGCATTACCTTATGCATTGGCACAGGTAACTAATTTTTTAATAGGTTTGAATCACTTGCTTAGTTTGGTTTGTTGTCTCATGCTAAAGCAAATCAGCGTTTCTGATGCAGGTTGTAATAGAGCTACCTTATATTCTTCTTCAAGCTGTGACATATGGTGCCATAGTTTATGCAATGATTGGATTTGAATGGACTGTTGAGAAATTCTTTTGGTACTTGTTTTTCATGTACTTCACATTGCTCTACTTCACATTCTATGGAATGATGGCTGTGGCTGTCACTCCAAATTACCATGTTGCTTCAATTGTTGCTGCTGCATTTTATGGAATTTGGAATCTCTTTTCGGGGTTCATCGTCCCAGAACCTGTAAGTAACGCCAAAACTGGTCTTTAACTCTTACTTAGGGCTTGTGTGGATTAACCTTGGTAAAAATAACTTTTATTCTGACTAACTTTTGCAAACTGATGTTACGTAAAAATTAATTAGTGTAATGTAATTTATATTTAAATAAATTTTTATAAAAAAAGTTAATTTAACATAAACTTGTGTGGATGATATTCTTAAAAGGCAAAAGCTGAAAAAAAGTTGTTTCAATTACTTTTGGGCAAAAAGTCAGTTGACTCCAAAACTATGTCAAACATTATTTTTTCATTCAACTAGGTCTTTTAAGTCCCAACTTACCTTTGGACTTCGTAATATGATGCCATATTGCACTTTGATGAGTGTATATTGATGCCTACCGTGTTGTTTTTCCTAATATCTTGCAATTCTTTATTACAGAGCATCCCTATATGGTGGAGATGGTACTACTGGGCAAGTCCTGTGGCGTGGACTTTATACGGATTAGTTGCATCACAGTTTGGAGACATTACAAGCACGATGGAATCAAATAATCAGACAGTGCAGGAGTTTATAAGAAAGTATTTTGGTTTCAGACATGATTTTCTAGGAATTTGTGCTGTTATGGTTGTTGGATTTGCAGTGCTTTTTGCATTTATATTTGCAATCTCAATTAAGATTTTCAATTTCCAAAAGAGATAGATAGATAGATAGCCCTACCCTACTTATGATCTTCATACATTTCTTGTACAGGCTACGTAGTTAGTCCCTTTCTATTGCTAATTCTCAAACATATTACAAGTTTTGTATTTGTTAGTTAACTTATCAATGTTAAATATTGTTCTCATAGCATCCTCGGATAACTTCTCCGTTCGCTCCTATCATATTTCCACATTCAAAGCCTTTGGCACCAAAAGCTAATTCTGTAATTTCCATGCTCAGCTGGACAACGTTGTACAATTCGAGACTGTGGATGTAAAAAGTTAAGTCTTTTCTGTTTTTAATAATCATATTGAAGTTGTGAACTGCTGATGTGGATCTGTTCAATGGGGTGTGTGTGTGTTTTTTTTGGGCGGGGGGCATGTGCATTGACAAAAATTGAAAATTTGAAACCCATAATGTAAAAATGTTTAAAATGGGATGAGGAGTTTCAGACAAATCATCTGTTTCATGTTTTATTTCCTCATTCTAATAAACAGCAAAAAGAAACGGGAGTTTCTTAAAGTTGTGAAAACATACGGTAGTTACCATAATAAGGAAAATGTCGAATAGCGGTTTTGCTGTGTAACATGTTTTTGCCATGCTTTAAATCTCCACCTTTGTCTCTGTGCTTTTGCTTTGGACATTGTTCGTCTTTGAGATGGAAGATAATGGCCAGGCCGAGTGGTCCTGTGTTTGCTTCGTCCTGTACGCAAAACCAGAAAATACACGTTTGGCTGCCAAACACCAGATTGGAACACTTCATACCTAACCTATCGATTCTGCCATATTAGTTCTGTTCTTTCAATATGGTTATTGTTTCGATTAAATTACGCAAAACTCTCCTAAACTTTCAGCCATAGTTAAATAACCTTCTTAACATTTAAAACTTAATAATGAACCTATCTAAACTTTTCAACTTTTTGTGGACAAATCTCAACCATCAATTGTATATGTTCACATTTGAGATAACTTAGAGCTTGCCACCTCCGTTATAGGGGGGAAAAAAAACCTGTAAAAGTTTTGTAAAAGAAAAGTCCTAATACGAAGTAAGGTTGACCAAAAACATGTTTTGGGCCTTACCAAATTTTCCAAGTTTTACTTGACCTCGAAATATGAATTCCATTTGATATAACTCAAACCGAATATTCACTGTGTATCAAAAATATTAACAATAAGTAAATTTTGGCTAATATATTAACAATAAGTAAATCAAATCAATAATAACCATTCATGCTGCAGAAAAAACATAAGATGCATTTTTCAAGGAAAAATATGTAAACATTAGCATCAATTATTACACTCCAACATTTAAATATTTTCCTGAAAGAAGTTGAGAAGAAAAAATAAAAAATATTTAAAAAGTTAAACAGTGAAAATAATTTTATACATAAATCTAACTTACATCATTTTCTCATATATTTTAGCTAGCAGAAGCTTTAGGGCAATGTTTCGGGAGAAGAGAACCTCCTAAATCAGCGGGATGGTAACAAGTAATTGAAAAAGTTGGTGTATACATATTACAACTGAACTATCAAACACAGAAATTCAAATATATGAATAGTGAAAAGAGAATCTAAAAGTAGCAGAGAAACAAACACAAAAAACCAAATCAGAAAATGATTGCATCCATATCTACATGATATCATCTTGGAATTTTAAGCCCTACCAATATATATATATATATATATATATATTTATATAACTCACATTTTACGTATATGAGATAGCTTAGAGGAGGTTAAGACTTCTTCACTCAAAGACGTTCCTTTCAGTCACAATCCAAATATACAGCAGAAACTGCCATTCAATAATTTCCCAGCAAATCTTTACAAGACTCGTGCGCTGCATCCAGACAAAGGAATCATAATAATCTTCATGCATAAAATATTATATACTATGAATTTCATCAGACTGTTAACTTCATAATTTACTCTGATATATTGACATTAGTGATAATTACAAGTGATACTTCATACCCATATGTGTATATGTGTATGATTGTTTTGTCACACTTCTGGATTTTCATCATATTGACGGTTGCATATATACATCAGTAAACAACTTACCCTTACATGTCAACTTTAATCAAGGGTAAAATAGCATCCCAGTATCATAACGTTATTTATTGTGCATCTAGCACCCCCATATGTTATTACCTTTCAGTTACATTTAGACTTTAATCTTATTTATGGTTTATGCTTGATGCACTATAAATAATATTACCTCTGGTTCTAATTATAAGACTTTATTTGTAGACTACAAACAGGATCTTATAATTAGGATCAGAGGTAATATTAAGGTATTGGAAGAATCAGAAAAATGACACAAGAGTGTTGAATGCATAATAAATAAAATTAAGATGCTTGGATATAACTTGAAAATAACATCAGAATGCTAAATGTTATTTTACTTTTTAATCAATTTATAATGAAAGGCCTTGTGTGTGTGTGTGTGTGTGTGTGTGTGTGTGTGTGTAATTTAATTCAGTCTAATCGGAATCCTATAGCAGCCACTAAGAAGTTTGAAATCAAATCTTCATATGGAGACTTATTGCTCGTGCGGTGCGACCAAACAAAAGCCTCTTAATTAGTCTCTCTCAAGGGAGCTAGTGACTTAGGGCTTCACACGTACACGTCACTAGCCTCTCTAGCTAAAGGTAATTACTATTAAACAAAACATCTCAGTCACTACATGTGAACGCAAAATCTAAGGTTTTATTTATTTGATTGATGTGATGGGGTCGATTTATTTCTGATGGACTGCTACTGATAGATTAATTAAACAAGGGGTTTGATTCTGATATTTGACAGAAACCCTTGAACTAGAATGACGATTCATCTTATGGGTTCATTGTAAGGTTTAGCTAGCTAGCAACCACCGTGTTATGCACCAATTATTATAAGATGTGTACAAAATATGTCAGATCCAACATGGAATTTCTCAATTTTCATCCAAAAATATATATTCAGTCCATGTTGAGACACAACTTCTAATAATTCACCACACACATATCAAAACGACGGTTTGGCTTTGGTCATGCAATTATTAATCAGTTTCAAGTTGAGAGATTTAATTATCTCTGTCCTTTGCTTTGAGACACATTGGTTTCAATGCATGTAGTTCACTTCAATCATTCTCGCACGTGACTCCATGATCGCCTCCTCTAAACGGACATATATACGTACGAACAGCACCTTAATCTGCGTACGTATTCCACAGTAACATAAGACTCCTCTCTTTCTATATTTTGTTGTCAATCACTATTTTTTGGCCCCGGTTAGAACAGTTTTAGGATTAGTACTATCTTTTTTATTTTGATTTCTAAAATTTGAAATCAATGACTTCAGTATCTAAAATTTGACTTTATTTTGGTCTGCCTAAAGATTTTTGATTTCTCAAACAATGTTTTTGGTCTCTAAAACATTGTTGCAAAGGTCAAAAACACTAATTTTAAATTTCAATGATCAAAACCAAAACATGGTCAAATTTCAAGATTGAAGATGAAATTATAGCACCTTTATTTGGTGCTTTCTTCTGTCCAAAACGTAGAAACTAGTTTGATTCTAAATATGCAGAGATGACAGAAGTTGAAGGAAAGATAACAAAGCAGAGGCAGAGAAAGGTTTTGGAAGAAAGAAGATCTTTGATTAAGATGTTATGATATAGTTGCTGTCAAATAAGTAAGCACCATTAATTTGTTATCAACAATAGATTATGTAGAGACCCATAGATCTAATCATTGTGTTAAAAAGTTGGGTTACGTCCTCAATGTCATTATCCATCAGAAGGTAGGATTCATTGATCATTGGATTATTGATCAGTTATTACATCAATCTAATAACAATATGGTTTTGGTTTGGCCCAGCTCATTATCATTAGAATGCGTTAGAGAGAACAATTTGATGATTACGATTAAACTATGGCTTTTTGTGAAATGACAAATTACACGGAAATTATTGAAAAAAGGTTCAGAACTGATTGGTTTCACAATGATTTCTTTCATCTAATCCTAGCTAGCTACTCCAATAATAATTCCAAATCAGTTATAAGCAAAATTGAAAAGATCTCTCTTTTCCCTTCAATAATGACTTAGTGGGAAAACTAGCCAATAATTAGCTATATACTAATCTCTCTAGAAGATTATTAGAAATATTTTTATGTACACTATGGTCAATTAATGAATATGAGACTTTTAAGCTTTGTATAGGAGTACATAATTAATGAAGATGGGACTTTTAAGCTCTGTATAGGAATACAAAGAATAAGAAACAGGATTTGATAAAATTAATTAGAGAAATTCGATTTGATAAGATTAAAATGTAATAAATAAAATAAGAAGTGAGAAGTTCAAGCGAGATATCATGAGCTGTGGATTCTGAAAGGTAGCCCGCTGCGGAGGAGCACGTGCTGTTGCACAGAGAGGGGGAGGGGTGGGGAGAAGGGGGACAATTATTCAGTTCATCACTCATAATTCAGTTCTTTGACTATATATTCATCTGCTCCTATGTATTTTCATATGGTAGAGAAAGCCTTCTCATCTTATTTAAAAGTTATTTTATCAAATTTTTGAGATAATATACTCCTCCGGTCTCTAATATAAGACCTAATTTTGAGTTGATTTTGGTTCTAAATATAAGATCCATTTTCATATTTATCAATTTTCTCTAAATTACCCATATGAATACTTCCTCAACCATAATTAAGTAGAAGAGGAAGAGGGGATATTAAGAAAGAATTATGGTGTTTTAGGGAAAATATGTCACTTTTCTTATAATTAACCAACTTACCTAACTTCCTTAATCTAATCAAATTAGTTAAATGAGTCTTATACTAAGGACCGGAGGAGTATTATTTTATCTTTTATTTATTATTTCATAGATTGTTGTTTTTTTAGAAAGTGCATATATCACATAGGGATAAATTTTAAGATAAAATTAAGAGGTTTAAGTTTTTTGATAGTTCTAACGAAACATATTAGAAATGACTTATAAAATAAAACCATCCGTGTCCATATATGTGTGTGCGCATGAAAAAAAATGGACTATAAATATTTTCATGTCCAAAAACTTGCAGGTTAAAGGGGGAAAACTGTTCAGTAAGTTTAAAATCCTCGCTTGGCAGTGAAGCAAAGCAATTTTTTCTCTGCCATGTGATTAGCTAACTCTACTAACCCTTGCTTGGTCAAAGAAAAAGGCCCTCTGTTAATTTCATTGGGTAAAAATGGTTCAATGATTAGGTTAATTAAACCGCTTCATGTACTTAGAGAAAAATTCAAATTTATACATGTCGGATGAAATGTAATGAATTGAAACTTAATACCACTTAACTTATACCAAGTGGATAAAAGAATCATGCATGTTGAAAGTACTATAGATGGATTAATTAATAATTCTGTATATCAAGTAATCGTTAAAAAAATAAAAAAGAATGAGGAGATATGTTAAATTATATATGCGCATTATTTTTTGGACTAATATTAAAATCAAAAGCCAAATTAATTTGAGTATGGCATCTAAATAATGAAATCTGTTTCTGTCTACACTTGTACATATATTTTATGTCAACGATAAGTTGTACCAGCAGCAATATTACCCATTATATTTGAATGAGATTTTGTGTTTAAATTTAACGTTAATATGTTTGTGAATACGAATATTTCACATCAATGCGGGGACAAAATCTTATGCTCAAGTGGATGTGACCCAGAGAGACAGGCAACAACAGTTGTGTATATAAATGTAGAACGAGGTTTGAAGAGAAATGTAAATGAAGGTAGGGGAAACTAAGGAGAGTGACAGACCCAAACAGTGGATAGGTACTTTGGGACATTGAGAACATGTCGGCTTTCTGTGTCCTTTACTTTGGACATTTCAAAATTAGGCCAATTCTCCCACCTCTATTATCCCTTTCTTCCCCTTCCCCTCACCAAACCACCACCACATTTCTTCTCCGTTTTATGTTCCTTTGTCATCTTCCTCTTCCTTTTTCCCCTTTCTCATACTCGCTCTTAGAGTTAGTTAAGAAGTTTGCTTCAACCTTAAATATATATAAGACATTAATTTACTTTTCCAAATTTATAATGAAGTTTTTACCAGGTTATCTCTTTATTAATTGCAAATAGTCTATGACGAATATCTGGAGGGACCTTTGAGTTATTGGCTACTAGTGTTGCTCTCTGGTCATGTCCAAAGGTATAAGGGGAAACTTGTTTAGTGTTTGCTTGGAACAGCTTATAAGTAATTTTTCAATCGTGATTTATAGAATATAAAATAAGTATAAGAAAAGTTTTATCTCAGCTTATATAAATATGCTTATAAGTGCTTATTAAATTTTAAAAATAAAATAAATTACTGAAATAAACATGTAAATGTACTGTTATCAAACTCGCGAGTTGATTCTCCGAATTTAACGTTTTTACGTTTTCAAGTAACAAAATCGTGTCGACTCGTTCTTAAACTTGTAATAACTGTAAACTCGGTTAAATTTATAAGTTCTTTTACCGAGTTTATCATTTTTACATTTTTAGCTTATAAAATCATGTCAACTCGTTCTTAAATTCGTGCTAAATTTTTGGATTTGATTATGTTTAGTGACTTTATATATGAATTTTATAGAAATTTTTTTGTTGAATATGATAAATTATGAATATTGATTAATATAATTTTAATTATTTAAATTTAAAATATATTTAAATGAAATTGTTCTCATTTTTTATATATTAATTATTTGATTATATACTTTTAATACCAGTTTATTAATAAAAGTAAACTCTTACGAGTTCATGATTCGAGTTTATGATCCGAGTTTATTATCAGTTAAACTCACGAGTTTGAGAACCTTGCTTAAATGGATTAACTCATTCATATTTAGAATCGGAGGGGTATCTATTACCTAAGGGTAGAAAACTACATAATATATATTGTAACAGTTTAACAAGACACATTTAAACCGCATGAATAAAAATTAAATCATCATTATAATAAGGGGAAACAAATGATTTAACCACATATATAGAAACAAAATAGTGGCCTAGAGGGTCAAGTCGACGGGGAAAAAAAGATTCAAAATTCTACGACGTAATTACTATTGTTGTTGTTATATTGTTCTCTTATATATCTAGCCCACTTGGACGCTGTTATTGTTTTTGTGACCGTGGTCGGTGTCGTTTCCGTCGCCAAACACGGCGTTTTTGGGTGCGCACAGCCGAACAAAGGACAGCGCCTCGTTGAAATGTTTGGCTTTTGTGCCCAGGTATTCATGCCACGTCACCGGCCGGTACAGTGGCGGCCTGTTGGGCCCCACCACCTTCGGATGTGGCGATATCTTCACACTCGCTGGGGGCCCATGCAGGTACGCCGCCGATAGCCTCTGCCGGGTCCGGTTCACCAGCACCCTGTGCAACACGCTCGGGTACAACCCGTTCGACAAAATGTGGAGCAGGTCACCCACGTTGATCACCAGCCCGCCCGGGATCGGCGGCACCGTGACCCACCCGGTCCCTTCCTTAAACACCTGCAAGCCGCTGATGGCGTTTTGGTATAGGATGGTGAGGATAGTGGAGTCGGTGTGGGCGGCGAGACCCATGGCTCGGTCCGGGTCGGGGCAAGTCGGGTAAGAGTTAAACTGAAGAGCCGCGCAAGCACCTTTCAATTCTTCATCTTTGGAGCCAGCCCATTGGATGTCTTGGTTTGATATGCCCAAGGAAGCTAAGACGAGCCACGTTAGCTTTCCCGCAAGCTTTTCCATGGCTTCTTCGTACTCCACGACAACGTTGCTGTAGTGGGGGGAGGGGAAAAAGACAAAAGACCACCCAAATGGCAGTGTTAGAAAAATCAAAACAGTACTGTTGCTTGATAAGAACTTCGGAGGACATCCGAACAAAATCCTATAAACAAACAGAAGAAGCAAGTGGATTTTGGTGCATATATATATAGAAGCCGGGCCCACCTTGCATCTCCTCGCAAAATTTGTAATCTTTGCTAAATTCTGCATTTAAGATAAAGTAAAACCCCTTTTTGTTTTTTTAATATACTTGACCACATAGTACCTACCATATCCCATATAAGCCATCTCCCTCGTACTTTCCCTCCCATGATATTTTCAATCGATCTCCGGCTTTTAATTCGTGTGAATTATATCAATTTAGGTTCGTTTTAATTATCTTTACCACCAGAGCAACCCAAATTCACTAGAATCTCTGCGAATATCCAGAAAGAAGACGGATGTGTAGTGATGAGTGGATGAGAGAGATGATGAGTAGTTACCAGTATTTGGTATAATCAAGAGGCCAGAGCTGGCGGAAATGGTCGAGAGGAGAACCAAGAATGGTGAATCCTTCGGACCACATGAGCTTGGGGAAGAAGGAGGAGATGCGAGCGAGGCCGTAGCCGGAGACGCCGTCGGGGGATCGAGCCGCCTTGAGCTTCTGGTGAGGGGGGAGGGAGAAGAGGGACTTGCCGGTGGACTCAATGTCCTGAAGAAGTCTGCTGGGCACGCCGTGATTGACCACCTGGAACACACCCCAACTCCTGCATGCATGGCCTATGAGCGTGGGAGCATTGGGGTCGTCGAGATCGATCACGGGAGGGACGCCGCGGCCACCGCCGTCGGCGTCGACAGCGGCGGTGCGGTTATCGTCGAGATGAGTCCATGCGTAGGAATCAGGAAGTTCTCGAAGGGAGTGAAAGTCAGGGTTCTTATGGTGAAGGTAAACTGGGTGGGCTCTGTAGGCTTCGGAGAGGGAAGGCATAATGGATTCAATCATGAACAGAACCAAGTTCAGTTAATTAGAGACAGCAGTTTTAGCTAGTAGGTACCTGGTAGCGATAAATAATAGTACTTTGGAAGAAAACACTGCGCAATATACAGATATATAGAGAGAAAGAGAGAGTCAGAAAAAGAGAGGGGGGGGGGGGGTTAGAGAGAGAGAGATAAAGATGAGGGGCGAGAAAATATGATTGTGGCTAGTGAGTATATAAAGAGATGAGGGCAGTGACCTTGCCCTTACCCTGCCCTACCAACACACTGAGGGGGGAGAGGGAGTTTTACTTTATTAATTATTCATACGGGCTCTATTTTTTTTAAATGTGGCGAGAGGTGAGTGGAGGAGGACTTCTGAGGGGAACAAGACAGGATATGAAAAATGAGAGAGTTTGGTAATTATGAAAAACGATAAAAAATTTTAACATTTTATTTTAAAAAAATGGATATTTTTTATATTTAAACTCTTTTTGGGGGGGGGGGGGATACTTGCTCTAATTATTGTACTTTGCAGAAGAGGTAACCCTGGGCCGTCTATTTCCTGTCAACTTGGTTATCATAGTGTGAGTGTGTGAGTCTGTGTTTCCCTCTCACTAGCTCTAGATATAAGAATACATTAAGAGGTTCAATTTGTTTCAATTTTAAATATAGGACTTTGGCTCTTAAAATTATAATTTTTATAAATAATCACAATTAATTACATATATTAAGGAGGCTTTAATTTTATCATGAGATAGTTTTTTATACAAATAATTAAAAATGTTTTGAAAAGCAAATAATTAGTTTAATTAATTTTTTTATCTTTGTAAATTAATTATCAAGGATGTGAGGGGTACTTTTCTTTTCAATATGGGACGTACGGTATGATTAAACATCAATCGTTAAAAGGACAGGGCTTGATGTGAGATTAAGATGATTATGTAGTAAATAGATCGTAATTGGAGGAGTTAAAAAGACGATATTGTCCGCAACAATATTCATATGTACTTAGAGCTTAGGGGGAGGGTCCCTCTTGGATGAACATGTGCCTTGTTTTGTCTCGGAGCTGGGGAAAAAAATTCAAATCCAATTAGCACTTCCAATATGGTTTTGAATCTCTCTCTCTCTACAATAACATTAATTATTATTTCGATTTTCTCAAGGATTATCATGTTACAAGACAAGCACATATATGATATTGTTTTAGATAATCAACCCATGTTCAGGAAGGAACATTATTTTTATAATTTTAGTAGCCCCACACCAAAATTATAAACATTCATGAAAAAATAACTAGGATTAAAATGCATCTAACATTTTAAAATATTTTTTTAAATGTATTTAATATCCTAAAATATTTTGTAGCGCATTTAACATCTTGAAATATTTTTTAAGTGCATCTAGCACCTGAAGTTTTTTTTTTACACAATTATCCCTTCTATTATCTCAAAAGTGGAGGAAACATATGGAAAAGCAATAACTTATAAAAAAACTAGTTTTTTCCAAAGACAATTTCACTTCTCGTTCAGGAGGTGAACAATGATTAAGGATACAAAAATCAGGCTTTAGGGTGTCATCAGCTGCACCTTAATTTTTTTTCTCGCTTTCCAAATATTCTTTTTTATATTATTAGATTGTAAGAGTGAAATTTCGAAATCTTATAAATTAAAAAAAATGGTGCACTCTTATTTTCTTTTTTTTCTTTTAAATGATTTTTACCTTGGGGTCTAAAAGTCTAACTAAACTATGAGGAACTGGAATACTTTTTCAATACACGTGCCTAGACATGGGGAATGCCTCTTTCTTTTTAACTATGTGTAAGTGCTCATTTTCATGAAAAGCGGTAAAGTTTGATTTGGATTTTAGCGTGCCTTGGATTTTGGTTTTCTTTGTCTTGTATGGCCTCATGTGGGCCTCCCTCCCCTCTTCTTTTATTTTTACCCCTTCTGTGTTATTCTTTGCGGGTTAATTCTCAAACATAATGCCCCCCTCCCTTTTTTGGTTTCACATGAATATCTAGTTCATCTCATGATTACTTGTGTCTTATAATCTATATATATATATATATATATACATATCCAAAAATTGGGTTGAAAGCATATCATTGGATGTATTTCACTTACGAATATACTCCTCCGGTCTTTAATATAGGACCCAATTCTTGAGTTGATTTTGGTCATAAATATAAGACCTATTTTTCATATTTATCAATTTTCTCTAAATTACCCCCATGGATACTCCCTCAACCATAATCAAGTAGAAGAGGGAGATGTGGTATTAAGAAAGATGATTATGGTGTTTTAGAAAAAATGTATCACTTTTCTTATAATTAACTAACTTACCTAACTTTTTTAATTTAATCAAATTAGTTAAATGGGTCTTATATTAAGGACCAGAAGAGTAATTATGATTTGAGATTATTTAGCTTAATTATATCGGATATAGCAGTATTTTACTGTTACGTGTAATCATTTCAACTTCTGGTTGCATACTTCTTTTTTTAATTACCTCCAAATTGATGATAAGTTAGTGTTTTATCCAAATATTCTTGCAACGAAGAATTCAGTTTCACAACTTATCACCTAGACAATGAACACCAAATTAATCTGGACAGTCCAAATTTAATAATTATTATATTATAATAGTTTGATTGATATGGTAATATGTGCATATTATAACATAAAAATAATATTTCAATTATTAATTTTTTGCAAAAATGTTTTTATTTAGAATTGTCAGTTAAAAATTTAAATTTGGATCATTGGAATTGTAATATGACAGTGTAGATCTCACCCAACAATAAGCAGCACAGTCCTCATCACTACAATGAGCATTAAAACCAGATTTTGTAGCAGTTAGCACCCTCTTTTGAAGTTTTTCTCTTTCATCCGTCAAACAAGGAGTTATATTGTGATCCTATTTCTTTTCTTATTCCTTCTCGTATATAATAAAGCTACGACATATTATCTCCGGTTTTTTACATAAAAATTTATTTGATTTTTATTTTGTTTCTAAATATAAGATCTCAATTCATTTTTTATATATATATTTATCCATTTTTTAAGGTAGTTCTTGTAATAATGGTAGTTTTAGCCAATATACTTTATTAATAAGGATATTTTAGAAAAGATAATATTTATTTATTATAAATAATTCACTTGACTAATTTTCTTAATATACTTAAATTAGTCAATTAGCTCTTATATTAAGGATTAGAAGTGGTATAAAATTTATTGAAAGTAGCAAAGGGGCCACACCTATATATACTCAAATTGTTTTAGATAACTTTATCATTGAATTTTCTTGACAATAGATTCTATAGCAGATCCCACCAATTGGAGAAAACAAAAACTTTTGCAGAACCCTCTCATCTACTACTACATGCTACCTCTGGTGCTTCATATAAGAATTAGTTTCATTTTTAATTTAGTTCTAAATATAACACCCCGATCTATTTTTTCTCTCAAATTTATCCATTTTTTGTCGAGATAGTCCTTATAATAGTTGCGTATGTTAAATATTTAATCAAATAATAGTTCTAACTAATATATATGGTTAGCAAAAGTATTTTAAGAAATACAATACCTATTTATTACAAATAACTAACTTAACTAATTTTCTTAATCTACACAAATTAAATTAGTCAACTAGTTCTTATATTAAGAATAAAAAAATATGTAATATCTATTTTGTTGCCAATATAAAGTCATTTCAATAGCACAACATTAGGATTTTATTAACACATAAAGAAAGTCAATGTTTTAATTAATGTGAGCAAAGATATAAGCAATGATTAGAAGAAGCAATAGTTATATACAGATATATAAACATAGCAAAAGTTCAATTAATTAATTAATTTATGGTGCATCCAAATGTTGGTGTAATATATACAAATAAAAGTCAGATATATAATATAGGAGTAGTAATAAACATTGATGGCCCTGTGGTTGTGAGAGATGTGAGGTAAGAACAGAGAAGAACATGGTTATGGGACATATGGTGTTTGTGTTTGTGTGTGTCCACTGTCCACACAGAACCCATTCATTCAAATTCTGCACATGTCCTTCACGTGGCTCCAACATGGCCAGGTCGGCTCTATCCATTGCCCCTTGTTTCCTTTTCTCTCTTCACTCTCCATCCATCTGTAACTTATTATTCTCTTCATTTTTATAATATTTATTTATATTTGTATTAATCCCATGCCCACACACAGATATATTGTAACTTCATAGTTTAAACCATTTAATTAATTAGCGTATGATTTAATTTGAAGAGATCCATCGAATATATATACACAGAAGCTAGAATTTAAACATCATCATCACTGAGTAACATATAATAATTAACCGACTTCGTTCTGGTAACATATATCTTTTAATTTCTATTTTAATATTTGATTGATTGTTCTTCATTTAGGGTGGGGTGTGTGTTTGTGTATGTTTCCAAGTTAATTGATTCATTGACATTATTCATCCCATCGACAATAACTTATCATACCTTTATCTATCATATATCTCGATCTTTAATTTGTGGATTTATATGTACAGTCCATTTCAATTAATTAATTATATATATAAGAGGAAAATCTTATAAAAAGAAGAATTGCTCTAGCAAACATTATAAGAACAACTGAACAAGTTGCGACGATGTTTTAGACTTATTATATTACATTCCAAATAAATATATTGTTACATAAATCATATTTCTTAGAAAAGAATAATATTAGGCACTGGCTAGGAGCAAATAGTTCAAATTTAATCAAGCCAAGTTTGGGATCAACCGAAGGGAAGTGTTTTTATTATTACAACAAGCGTCAAACGTAAGAATGATTTCAAGTTTTGGAGTCTTTGATGACTATCAATTTAAAAAAGCTTTGGGCGTTTAGATGTCAGTTTCATTATGAGAGGCATGTGAGACGGCACATGCATGAAATTTCAGTGAGCAGGAACGACAACATGTGTTTTTATTTTATTTTCTTAATTTGGATCAATCATTTTTTTCTAAAATGACTTATAATCTTAATGTTATATACTCCCTCGCTCCAATCCTTACTATATAAGAGGTTTAGTTATTTTTATCTTAAATACAAAACTTAATCCATTGTGTCTCTCAAATTTATAATTTTGTTTTCCAATTATCCATATTAACTAGAAATTTCTCT